ATAATATAGTATATAGAAAGATATATAGAAAGATATATAATATATAGTATATAATATATATTAGAATAGATAGTATAGTACTCTTATTAAGAATATATAAAAATATTTATTTATATACTTAGTTAAATTCTTTATAATTAATCTATTTAGTTATTTAATAGCTATATTTAAGATTTATATTAACTCAATTTATTTATACTATCTAATAATTGAGTATATATATTTAATTGGTCTGGTCTTCTTATCTTAGACTGTTTATTATAGTACTGCCTATACTATTTAGATTATATTAAATTATTCTATATTGTTAGATACTAGTAGATTCTAGTCAACCGAGTAAGTTAACTCTAATCAAGATCGCTAACTGATCACAGAGTCCTTGGACTGATACCCGGGTGTAACATATATATTTGGAACAATTATGGCTCCCGAAAGGGCATGAAACGAATTTATTTTAGTGTAGTGTACCACAAGGCTCAAAATAACCTATGCTTTGATTAGCTTGCCTTCATATCTTATCAGGCAATAACTACGCAAAAGGCTTCACTTTCCATCGTACATTATGGCGTTCTACTGACTTATCGTACTATAGCCCATAGGTTTAGCCGATACGCAAAGCACACCATGTTTTGCCAAGCGATAGCTAGCTGTTACGCCCGGGTATCCGTCCAAGGACTCTGCGACCAGTTAGCAATCTTGGTTAGATACGACTTACTTGGTTGACCAGAATCTACTAGTGACCGGTTGCGATGGATGACCCGATATAGTCCGAACAATGTCGACGATACTGTAACAAGTAGTCTAAGATAAGAAGGCCAGACCAATTGAGTATATATACTCAATTGTTGGATAGTGCGAACGAGTCGAGCTGATATAAATATTAAATATAGCTATCAAGTAATAATTAGGATTAATTACAAAGAACTAAGCTAAGTACATAAATAAGTGTCCTTATATATCCTTAGTAAAGGTACCACACTGTCTACCCTGGTATATACTATATACTATATACTATATACCTTCCCGTATACCTTTCCATATACCATGTCACGTGATATTCGTGGGTACTTGCCTTTGTCTAGTTCAGTCATACTGCGCAAAGAGTATGTCTGTGATCACCAGGTTAACGTATATTCTTCGGTATTTCGTGCTAATACCGAGAAGTCTTACTATTATAATTTGTCTAATATTGAGTTCCTCAATATTATTATAACCACAATATTTCTTGCTCCATAATATTTACGTGCCGGAATATTATCATCTGGGTAATATTCTGCCGATGATAATGTTTACCGCTCTTAACGTTATTGTAGCCAGTATATTATCTGTTGGTGCCGCACTAGTCCGGGGTCCGTAACACTAGCTTCCAGGGTGAGTCCGTAGTATTGATGCTGTTCGGATCACGGAGACTTATTATCGCGACCTCTAGCGAACGTCCATGCACCTCGATGACTCATACACTAAATTCCTACAAAGTATGTCTGGCTCAGTGGCGACGAGAGTCAGTCTCTGGCCAATGAAATCTCTCAGCCAGTGTTCCACTCATGGACCGTTGAAACAATTGCGGTTCAATAAACTGGGCGCCTCAGTCTGCTGCCCACAGTATTTTCTGGAGCGCTTCTGCCACAGCTGCTGGGCTTTATTTTTATGGATGAATATATTTGCCGAATTCATGGTCAGCTGACACAAATGAGGTGGTGGTGAATGAGGAAATGTCGACTCCCGTGTCACAGCAGGATACGAAGCGAGGGAGGAAAGCCAAACAGCATGATCAAGATGCCTCTTAATAGCTACCTCAGTTTGCCTGTATTCATTAATACGGACTTTACTCAAGTGATCAGAATCTCTTAGTTACCATAAGCAGCTGGCTGTTGGCCTGTGCGGCCAGCGAGCCCGCTCTGCCGCCAGTTGGCGGGCCGTGAGCTGCGCTGGACCATGGTTCCACTGATCATGCTCCGATTGGGTTTGTGAGATATGGCCCACAGCACGGCGATCCTCGTCGGTGGATCCCGGTGCCTAACCCATTATCCGCTGCGCTTAGGCCAGTATCCTTGGAGCAAGTCTCTTTTGAAAACCTCGTTAGACCACGGGCACATTAAAGCTCTCTAAAAAATAGTTGTTACCCTAGGAACACTAACACTTCCTCTCAAGAGCTGCCCATACAATCCCACGAGAGAAAACGGTTATAGAAGCATGCGTTCCCTCCCAGGTGTTACAGGACGAATAAGCTGTTCCAACCTAAGCGTGCCTATTGAACAAGAAAAAATAGATAATTGACAGAAATCTTTTGTGGTAGAGGCTTGGCATAGATGCCTTAGCTAGAGTATCCTATGGTGTAGGGCTGCTTGTCAGTCAGTCCCATAACACGAGGTGACTTGCAATGGCATCACCTATCCACTTCATGCAACATATAAAGTCATGAAATCAGAGCTATATGGTCAGAGAACTCCAAGTCCACCGTGGTTGCTGTAAATTGGATATACATTTCTTAGTTCCTGTCAATAATTTCAAATATTCTTTGATTTTATCATCACAGCTCCGTAATAATCCTCACGGTGGTATCTCAATGCCGTACTTCTCATAATCGAAGTGCTCCAAACTCGGTATACTTTCGGCCCAGCCGTCATCCAGCTCCCCGAGTTGCCACTCGTCTCCGATCTCGATTATGCCAATCCTCCCAGCCAGGACTTCTTTATGCCTTGCTTGGTACTCGACCGCAACATCTGGATGCGGTACCCAAATAACTCTCATCCCAGCTCGTCTTCCGGCCTCCACTCCGATCACGCTGTCTTCGAACACTAAACATTCATGGGGCAAGATGGGCTTTGCGCCACAGGCCGCTGCCGTCAAATTCAATGATTGCAGCGCCACGAAATATATATCTGGTGCTGGCTTTCCTCGCCCCTGCCGCACCCGCGGATCATCACCCAGGACCCGCCTGTCAGGCCGGAAGTAGTCAAGCAAGCGTTTCGTTTCCAGCCTTGAGGTCTTCAGTTCGTAGCTGCGGCTTTTGGTACTGGATGCTAATGCCAGCCCGATTCTGCTCCCCGAAGAAGCACTGCGTGCCTGGCTGAGGGTCGACAGAATCTTCTCCGCCCCAGGAAGCGGCTTGCATGTCGGAAAATGTCGTCGCATGTTTTCAGCCGACTCACGAGCGAATTCTTTGCGGGAGATAGGCAAATTGGCCCAATTGTGGAACGTGTCGCCGTTTGTCGAGTCTGGGATACCCATGAGCTGGGCTCGAATCGACTGGTCAAAGGGAGGCCTCTCATATTTCTCGAGAAGTTGATTTGTGGATAAAGTTATTATGTCTTCGGAGTTGATGAGAAGCCCATCCATGTCGAAAATGCAGGCGCGGATGGCCGAGAAACTGATCACTCTTTCGTTAGTGTACTACCCCTACGCCGACGGCCAAAACACGCTCCGCTGAAGGCCATCCACAGGTGTCTCTGGGGGTTGGTACACACTCGGTCTCACGGATAGCCATGGGGACTGATTTAAGTCAACTTGGTACGACTTGATAGCACAGTGAGCGAAATAAGGGAAGAACTTAGTTGGTATTCGGGGCCAGACGTTCAACTTGGGAGTTGATTTGCGGGGTTGGTTTCCGCTTCCATGCCTTGATCCGGTCTAGCTTGGCCGTGTCCCGTGGCGCCTTAATTATAGGCACCTAAAACCCCATAGGCTCTTGGAGAGCTATAATTGTAGTACATATACTGCGTATTTTATATTGACATTATATAGATAACGGTGAAGGCGTCTGGCGGCAAGTAAAGTATTGAATACCACTGAAGTGCTGGAGATAATGTTTATCTCCCGCGGACTAGGACAAACGAGAACTCAGCCATGATATTATCAATTGCATACTCTTTGCAGACAAAAAGGAGAAGGGGGCCAATCAACGAGCCCAAAAAGCAACAATCTCGTCAAAGTCTTCCATCGCCAAGCTCTTCACATCTCGATCCTCCCCGGTAATTTCCTTCCTCAAGCGACAGGCAACCCTAAGGCTGATGGAAGCTTTTTGGATTTTACCCGTTGTTTCGAAAATTTTGCCCTTAAGAAATGTACTGCGAGCGATCTCATTTTTGTGTGCAGTCGGATCAACAGACCAAATGTCCAACGCCCCGTTGATCATAGAACTAATAAAAGTTAGAGACATTTTCAGCAATTTCAATTTGAATTATTACACCTACATCGCCTCTTCGCTCCGGCCCAAGCGGGAAAAGTGCTCGGCAATCTTATGGGCGACACTCGCAGTATAGAAATCTTTTTCGCCAACCGTCGCGCGCATGTGGTCCCACGCCCTGTAGTGGAATTCAAAGCTTTTATCCCATTGGCTTTGTGCAGCACGGAGATTACCGAGTACATAAAGAATCAGTCCAGTCCGGACAGATTCTCGATCATTCTTGCCTAGAACTTTCTCTCTACCGGCCAAGCTGTCCAGTAGGAGCGTGTTGCACTCTTCAAGCTTGCCCTGCGCGAGAAGAGCCCAACTCAGATTGGCCTCACCTGCCCGGGGAATGTAGTTTCCGAGGGCTTTGCGGATCCGCAGCGCTTCTTTGAGGTCGGCTTCGCCTTCTTTGTACCGTCCATCCTGAGTGCGTGAGATCCCTCGTTCTGCGTAGGCGAGGTAGAATCTCTCATCCGCAGTTCCCAGCTCCTTGCAGATATTGGAAACCAAATCAAAGGAAAGTTCCTTATAGATACGGCTTCCATTGAAATCGTTCGTATCCATCGCAATAGATCCTAAGCAGAAGTAGATATCTGCAAGCAGTGAATCTCGATCTGGGTGTACTGACGACTCACAAATACCGCGAGCAGTCTCGAAGAAGCCGTCGAAATGCTTTGTTCGTCCCCGCTCTTTTTGGTACCTGGTAATATTAGACAATATGGCAAAGAAAATCTCTCGGTTTTGTACACACACCATGCAGCCTCAGTCAGTAATTTTGCAAAAAGCAAACTGGTGGCCTCTGAGGGATTTGAAATCGCTGACCAGAGCTGATGTATTCTTAGAACGTGGGGGTAAATCGCTGCACAAACGGGCCATCTTCCAACGCTCAATCTACCGCCGGCTGATCTGGGTTGGGGTAACTGTGGCTCTTTTGATGGCTTCGGCATAGCCGATGGCCACCCCGTCCAAAGGATCCGCACAACTTGGTCGCACATGAACCGTTTCTTTGTAGCGTCCATTGTTGCCAAGATTACATCTTGCACAATGCGGTGGACTGATAGTTGCTGGTTTTGCTTATCCCTTTGTACCAGAGATGACTGCAAAAGATCGGTTCGGGCCTCAATATAAATACTCCTCTTGAATTGTGCCCCCTCCGAGATCAATTTCACAGATGCCTCCATCAATAAATCTTCTCCAATGAGGTCGGGATCAAGAAATGAAATCAGCCCCAGCAACTGTCTAGACTGAGGCTTCAGCTTTCCAAATGCCCAGACAGTAGATAGAGTGTGGCTATATGTAACTAAATTTGTATCGAACTTGGTCTCGTAAAGACTAGCGTGTTCTTCATGATCCGTATAAAGCTCGAAGAACTCAGACAAGGTGAGATCCTGTCGACGGATGATCCCCGCCATCTGGGAGATAGCTAGAGGGAATCCACCAAGCGCATTGGAGATTTTTCTGGCTGTATCATCTTCAGGCTCATTGAAATTGGCAGTGAGATGGTTTAAGAGAGTTAGGCTGTCATGTTGAGAAAGTGGGCCGAGATCCAAGCCCGAAGGCCTTCTTGTAAACATGCCTTTGGCCAATGGATCGCGGCTGGTGACTAGAATTGATCCACTTCCTTGAGGCCAGTAGTCTGCCAACAACATTGGGTCATCTGCGTTATCAAATATAAGAAGCCAGTTTGCTTCTGATCTAGCGCTGCCAGGTTGAACAAGCTCATCCGACTCTGAGAGATGTTTTCGTGGGTTAGAGAGCCATCCCTTCACAATTTCTCTGCTGACAACTTGGCTCTTGCAGTCGGACGAGTCCTCAAGTCCCAGTGCTACTGAAATTTGTTGATAATGATGGTCAAGTTTCGCGATCTCATCCGCACCAACCCAGAATACTGCATCAAAGGAAGTTTTGTGGCGCCGGGAGAACTCGCGAGCGATTTCTGTCTTTCCGATTCCCCCAAGCCCACAAAGTGCAAATTGTCGTAGACCGGTACCCGATGCTGTTACTACAGTCTTCGAAGGTAAGAGCTCGGCCGCAAGTCGTTCCAAGATATCTTCGCGGCCGCAGAAGTCCGCGTTTGCCGTATGCGTATTGAGAAGGAAACATGGTAGATGAAGTGATTTTCGAATCTCAGGGTTGGGTGGTGTATGATGTACGAACTCAAACCCCGAAAGAGATGTTCCCTCTGTTGCTCCGTTTGAAGGCCCTTCAGTTGCTTTGTTTGACGGGTATTCGGTAAGTTCCAATTGCTCCGCTAATCGATATCAGTACTGTGTCGTGGCAAAACATGGAATTTCAGCTCACCTTTAAGTGGCGATTCGCTCATTGTGGGCGAGTAGGCGCTCATCGTCGCGTATTGGTATTCCTCTGAGACCATTAGTACCTATCTGTAGCTTTCCGATAACTTGAGAGCTTACGGTCCTCCAGTCGAAGTGCCACAAGACGCTTGGCGTCATTCAAAGTCTCGTGAATAAACGAGTTGAACTCTGTCAAGCCTTCGCCACCAACGCTCTTAGTGAAAAAACATGTATCGTGGTGATTGAGGTTGAGGCCAATGACTGTTTCCATTGGGGAATGAGTCGAGCAAGCTTCGCGGTTGACTAACTAGAGCCTAGGTTAGCGTTCATGGTCCATTCAAAAGCTCGATACTAACTTGTTGGTATTTTTGAAGCAACGTAGTTGAGCTGTTTTTTGATTCTCTCAGCTCATAGACGGATAGTATAGGAGTACGGAGCGAAATTCCCTCGAATCTATCTGCCAGGTCGAGTAATATTGCGCCCTCCTGCTCAATATGGGCGTTTGGCATCCTCAAGCTTTTACCGGTTGTTGCCTCCAAGACGTCTCGAAACCGTAGCAAGGTAGTGGCCCTATCGCCATATCGATGCGGAGTGCTTAGGAATATCACGCCAGCAATTGCATTGACAATTGATCCATATCGAGAAAACTGTTTGTTAGCAACGCACAAAGCCTGCTTGACTACAATACCACCTAAGCTGTGGCAGACTATCAGGAATGGCTTGTTGGTTGCCTAGAGGCACTACATCAGCAGGAACGCCGACAACTCGCAGACAACGAATTCGAACGAGTTCACTGACCAGATCTGAGTCCAACTGTGATCGCATGTCCCTTAAATGCTCAAGAAAGTCATAACCAAGCATCAGAAACGATTCCCATGACGGCTTGGTGACCCCAAATGGCGAGCCATATTCGTAGACAAGGATGCGTGGCCCCAATAGGGAGCCCGGTAGGGTGGCGAGCCATTCCTTGTTAGCAAATGGCCAGTTCTCCGGCGAGGTAGTTCCGACGCAGGAACGAGAACAAGACTACGCCGGAGGGTAAGTGGAAGAGCAGATGTGAGCTGGCGGTCGGCTTTTCTTACTCAACGCCATCCTGCGATGCGTCAACAGGATTCCGTAGTACCCGAAGATGGCCGGTAGTCGCAAAGCCTGCCCCTGTGGCCATGACTGCCGCTTACCGAACAGCGGGATGTTCCAGGATGAGAAAATAATCGGACTGTGATTGAGAAGTTGCCAGTAGAAGAATGATGAGCTTTGGAGATGCGGGGTAGGCTCCCGCGCACACATGTGTGTGCGCGTCTTCCCTTGGATTTATTATTATGCCCAAGTAATACCTGGAGGCGAACCGATGATAAGTAACTAACAACATCACCCCCTACATGTTCTTATTAAATTTACCGAATGAAATCGGTTTCAGCTGGCCTTAATTACACATGACATCCCTTTGGAGTGCCGGGGTTGGTTAGTCACAAGCTGATAGGGAATTCGCTCCTCCAAGCATTTATGGTGCCACGTCCCGCCTTAGGCGCCGTCGTCCGGGTTAGAACATGTGAAAAGACTCGTATCATCGTCATGTTAATCCTGACTAATAGTGACTACGAAGTTGGGACGTCCTCGTCCCCGTAGCCATATCAGATCGGATGAGAACGTGGCCCATACTGGGTCTATAGAGGGTGTTCATTTTGTCATCTTCAGCCATTCAACTTGGGATGATATTATTCTCCACATCTTTTCGTCTTTGGTCGGCCATTCAAGGTCACGTGTCCAGAATTGGCCAGGCTTTAAAACTATACATTGCTACGAATAGTACTACGCCGATGCTGTGATATTGTTGAGAGGTTGATCTCCACCTTGCCATTATAAACACCAAAAAAGCTTCAGACGATATGAGTTGAATCTTTCTCGCTCCTCCCAACCGTCATATCACGGCCAAAAACACGACAACGTTTCCAACACATTACCCAACAACGCCTTAAAACCTCAAAATCCCAAAGATAGAAGATGTATGCAAATAAAGTGATTGGGACACACAAAACAAAAAACCACCAGAATTCCACCGCATTCTGGCCAAGGAGATCCACGTTCATACCAAACAGGCTGGAGCTAAAGTTCAGAGGAATAAAGAGCGTTGCAAGAAGTGTTAGCTTCTTCAGTCGTTCAGACTGCTCAATGGCTTTACGAGATTCCTCTATCGTAGCTTTGTTCATTGCCAGAGTTATTCCACGAGTGCACATTTTTGATAAGTCGATGCAACGAACATGGAGTTGTTCGTAGTCGTCCACGATACTTTCCGGTGTAAAGGCACTGTCGGAGCCATAGGATCCAATGTTTCTGATCATCTCGGTCTCTGAGACCTGCCGGTGTAGGCCCAGCTGCACAGCACTTTTGGGGATTTGGCTTTCTACCTTAACCCCATTCATACCTTGACCGCCTCGCTCAGCTAACCTGCAGAGCGCACGCATACTATCTTTCAGCTGCTGGGTGTGCCGGTCGAGAATATTGGAAAAGTATTGAAGTGTTCCCAACGCATCAGCTGGTGCTTCTTGGACTATGGTGTCTATCTTGGTTTGAATTTTGGACTCCATAAGATTTAAAAACTGAACTTCAGAGAAGGCCGCATGCGCAAACAATGGAATGCACATTGAGAGTGGATCTTGAGACGCGCGACGTGTCAAGTTGACGAGCGCAATCAATGAATCGTATTGTAAGGGAAGAACGAAAGTGCTTTGCTGAACTTGTGCGGAAGCATTGGCATCTGGATCTAGGCGGTTGGTGGTCTTCCGAAATGCCATCTTGGGATGATGCTGGAGGACAGGCAGTGATGTAGCCTTGGACTCGATGTGACCTGTCCATGGCCCTGGGGGAGATTTTTCTAGGGGCCTACCTTGGTCCATCCAGGCAATGGCTACATTCACGTATTAGTGATATCTTATGTTGTGTAGGAGTCTCTTACCAGCCCAGCCTGTATCGGTTTTCATGATACAGAGTGATATCCATTGTTCAATCACAGAAAAACGCGAACAAACAGTGGAGTACTCGCGCACCACGGAGTCTCCGCAGCAGACTCTAGTAGACCCAAGCTGTTTCTTGTACGCCACAAGCTCAGTGGATTGGGATGACCGCTGTGATTGGATGTCCTGTCCACCGAAATCATCGCGATGGAGAATAGTGCTCACACAAAGTCGAAATATGTTATTTGAGGAACTGGCAAGTGATGGAGAGCTATATGAATGTCTGTCGATGCTGGCGGAAAGAAAATCCATATGGCGCCTGAAGAATTCTGGATCAATATTGTATTTGCTCCCTATGATCGACACCCACAATGGCGATAGGAAGCCTCGAAGAAAAACTATTTGCCCGGAGCCCTCTGCTGGAATACATGTCGCAGCGGAAAACTCTTCATGCTGCAGTTGACCATAATGCTGCACACTCCAATTCTTTTCCCTGTTGTTGTAAACCACAACTAAATCGTGAGGCTGTTCGGACCTGGAAGCGAAAACGCTAGACATCTCTTTACGTTTCGGCGAGTTGAGAAGACTGCGGTCTTGCAGCATCCATTCCCCAATGTCGACATAGTTGTTTCCGGAAGGCATATATATTCGAATATCTTCTTGAGAGCGAGATAATGGCTCGGGTATAATTTTCGGGTGTAACTGTCAAACGAAGAGTTATTCAAGCAGAAAGGATGGAGCAGATGATAGGAAAACTTACCTGCGGGTTTTCTGCGCTCCATGCTGTATCATGTGCCACTAGAAGACTAATAGCATACCTGGTAGTGTACTGAATTCAACACTCTGATGGATTGAGCAGAGGCGTTGGGCGATACGTTATTTAAAGTATAGAAGCGAAACTTCGTACCATAGCCACCCTACCAAACATCCCAGCGCTAACATGTCATTTTCTATTGATCCATTTTTCTGGCAAAGTGGGTCCTTCGACGGGATGTGGGGAGCCCCACGCACCTCCAACCCTCAACGGTGACATGTAGACCATAATATGTCAATACTTCCTCTTTCCGCGGATGACGCGACCAAGGAACCAGATCGTCTGTAGCGTTACTCATTTCAGGCTGTTTTAGATTTCAGCAGACAAAGTAAAAAAGTGAGTAAATCACGGACGTGTAAACAAGCGAACAGAGATTGGAATTCTATGAAAACATACGAAAGCAAGTAGTACCTGTCGCGCTGCCGCTTTCTTTAGCGCTTTTGTTCTGGCTATTTTGTTCCACATGTCCTGAAACGAAAGGGACCGGGAAATAAGGCCAGCGCATTATGACTAGTGAAAAATGACAGGATGAGAGTGGCCATATCTGTACACTAGGCAAGCTGTACCATATCGTGGGTAGATCATTATTTGTAGCAAATAATCTTGGTTCGTTGGTGACGCGGGGAATGAATTTGACCCTAGTGTCGGTCGAATCACCCAAGCACCATAATGAAAAATCCATTGAATCTGGCAACTAGTTCGGATCAATCATTTTCTCATACCTACGGTTGTGGGGGCTTCAGGTAATATTGCTGTTCCAGAAAGTGATTGTAGTCATATACAATTCAATGGACGTTCAAAGCACTATGGTATATGCGTGAGTCGCATGCGAAACCTGCATTGCGGGGTTGTATACTAGTTACCAAACATCTACAAGAGATCAAATAAAGATATACACACCAAGTAACAGTATATAATATATTAATATAGTACATACAGACTATATAGTATATTGTAAACCAATATAGTATACAAGAATCAAGAATATATAAGAATACTTGTTTATATACTTAGTTTAATTCTTTCCAATCAATTTCAATTATTACTACAGAGTTATCTTTACTAGTAAGCCAGCTCAACTGATTTATATTCTCTAACAATTGAGTATACATACTCAACTAGCCTGGTCTTCTTTGTCACAGAATTGATAACGACCATGCAAGGTGGTTGTACAGTATACCCTGTCCCAGATGCATGGACATTTTGGTGGCCGAACGGCGCCTTCGGTATCTATGTCGGTCACCTTTCTAATGACGTACAGTGGCCCCCCCTCCTGAGGATTGATTATTGTATACAGAGAACTTTAGAGACCCTTGGCTATAAATTAGCACTGTAGTCAATAAGAGGGAAAATCAAGAATCAGTTTCCTGTCGATAGACTATCTACTGTTGTTTTGCCTACGTATCCTTACCTAGTTGACAGGTCTTCTACCCTGATTAGTAGATAACTCTGACATTCTTATCTTAGACTATTCGTTATTAGAGTTGGTCGGGTTCCCCGCTTAACCCGGCCCGAATCTACCCTAACCCAGCTCCGGGTCGGGAATAGATTCAAGATCTAGTCTCGACTCCGGATTTCGGGTTCTAGAGTCAAAATCTATCCTGATTTAGAAAAAATCTGTCTAATCCAGAAAATAATTATATAGTCTAAAAATCTAGATTTTTCTAGAATTTTTTATATTACTATATAGATTTAGA